TGACGAATGGATGAATAAAATGTGGTATATACAAACAAAAGAGTATTATTCAACTATAAAAAAGGCATGACACATGCTATAACATGGGTGGACGTTGAAAACTTTATGAGGGGCTGGTCACAAAAAGCCACAACGTGTATGATTCCATGTATATGAAATACCCAGAATAGACAAATCTATAGAGACAGAAAGATTAGTGGTTGGATAGAGCTTGTGGGAAGGGGATGGGAGTGAATGCTGGTTGGTGTGGGGCTTTTCTGGGGGGGAAGGTGATGAAAAAATTCTAAACTTACATGGCGGTGAAGGTGGCAGAGCTCTGTAAATATAGTCAAAAACATTAATTTTACAAAAGTGTTTAAAACTACCCAAGATTATGTGATGCGTCAGGTTAGGTGCCGAGTGAATGGTATGAACAGGCCAAGAAAGAGGGGGAATTCATGCCACTGAATCCACACGGCCTTTAGACATTCCCATGGCCTGAGCTCCTCTGGCATTTCTGTTCATAGAGATGTCTGGCTTGAAAATTCATAGTTGGCTTAACAAATTTAATTGGAAGCCATCATGTAGATGTAATCTCACTGTCTCTTGAAATTTGACGGGATTTGTTAGGAAGACAGTAATGTAGAGGATCAGTGGGTCTTCTGACTTTACTGGAACTACCTGGAAGCCAAAAAAGGTTGATGTTCATCAGCCTGCGGCATTAATTCTAGACTAAGGGGAGGTTATTCATTGATGGTTGAACGCCTAACATGTTACTTACCCTCTGGATCTATTTTAAAATCAGTCACACGAGAGGCCAGGCTGACCATGCAGCCATCCTCTCATTCAGTACATCTTTTTGAACTCTCTACTGCCTATGAAGATTAAATGATCTCTTCCTTAACTTCCCAGAATCTAAAATTCTGGATAAGGATATTTATAATTATTCGACCTCCAGAAGCAGATTATCTTCAAAACCCCAAGGTATTCCCTCTTAAGCATTATGATGCATTGGTCTTCTTGATTAAACGCTAAAATTTGGTTTTTATTAACAGGGAGAAGTGGAAGCTAGGGTTGAAGAATTACAATTCGAACGTTACTCTGTGTTTAGGCCTGGGTAAGCATTCATCCTGCCCACGAGTATGCTGCTGTTCATTCTTCCCTAGAAGTTAGTTTTTCATTTGAAGAGGCTGACAACTAAGCTCTCGAAGATACGAAAGAAGCTGGCTGGAGATAGATTGCTTCTCTGAAGAACATACCTTTGGCTTTGGAGGAAAGGGTGGATAGTTTGGTAGTGCCAGGTTCAGAGTAGTCTGGAATTTCCTGGGTAGCTTTTGCTGCCTTAAAAAAAAAAAAAAGTCCTCTTCATTCATCAAACAAAATATCTTTTACCCATTGGATTAATCTGTTCAGGCTGCCATGACAGAATAACACCACAGACTGGGAGGCTTAAGCAACAGAGATTTATTTTCTCACAATTCTGGAGGCTAGAAGTGCAAAATCAAGGTGCCATCAGAATTACTGTCTGGTGAGGCCTCTCTTCCTGGTTTGTAGATGGCCTGACATGGTCTTTCCCTTGTGTGCACATGGAGAGATCTCTACTATCTCTCCCTCTTCTGTAAGGATACCAGTCCTATCAGATCAGGGTCTTACCCTTATGACCTGGTTTAACCTTAATTACCCTCATAAGTGCACTGTTTTCAAATACAGCCACACTGGCTGTTAGAGCTTAAAGATGAATTTGGGGCAGGGCATGGGCACTGTTCAGTTCATAACACCCTTTATGGTCTGAATACAATAAACCATCTCTTCCTCGGTTTTTCTTTTTCCCTTTAGAGTTCTCTTGTGTGATAGGCAAGAATCTCGTCCAGGTGAATGGTTGGTTAGGAAGTTCTTTGGCTCCTTACCAGAATCTTGGGCCAGTGGGCACTCTGTGCCTGTGGCGACTGTGGTTAGGGCAATGCTGAACAACGCAGTGAACCCAAGTGGCAAGAAGAAGGAACTGCTGGATAATAACGCCATCCATGACCTGGGAAAAGCCAATGACTCTCTCAAGCCGTGACCACGCTGGAGAAATGCTTCCCTCTGTAAAATGCAACACTCACCACCTAATTGGTACTCTCGGTGTCTAAAAGAAGTCAGTGTGTCTTAACTGCGGTTTCACTATTCTCAGCTGCCAGATCCAATAAAAAAAATTATTGTGTTCTGCATCAGCAGTGCAGAGCCTGCTTGTCCGTATATGTGCGTCACCCAGGGAGCTTTTCAAAAGTAGATTCACAGGCTGTGCCTCAACCTCTGAATCAGAATCTTCAGGGTGTGAGCACAGCGATCTGTTGATTTGTTTTAGCTTCCCCTGGTGGTTCTGGTGCCACTGGTGGGGAGGCCTGCTTTGAAAGGCTTGTCTGCGGTCAGAGCAGCAGTACAGACCTTTCATATTTTGCAGGGGAGTTCTGTTCCAAAATTGTCATATTTGTGTTTCTTACTTACCTGGTGCTGACTGCTGTATTTGTGTAAAGGAACATTGTGCCTTACTACTTCTTTAGAATATGTAATAAAAGTTATTACATAACTGTGCTTGTATAATCATGGGGAAGTTAAACATAGGAAGGAAAACAAATGAACAAGTCCTGGGTGCCTCTTATATGGTTAGGAAATGTCCAAGTATTAGTGGAAATATGTAGCATTTTGGTCAGTTGGGTGGTAGAATACTGGTTAGTATTTATCAAGTGCCAGCCTTTACATATGCTGTGTGTCTTGTAACCCTCCAGCAATCCTTATAATCCTTATAGGTTTGAGTATTATCCCCATATCTTAGATGGAGAAACTGAGCCTCACTGTGGTTAAGCACCTTGCCCCAAAGTCTGAAGCTGAAGACCTGAAGCTAGGAAATGGCAGAGCCAGGATTCTAACCCAAGTCAGCCTGACTGCATAGCTTGTATTTGTAACCGCTCTATAAAAGCCTCCAGTATCTGTGTATTTCCAGGAAGTTCCATTAATTGTGACTGGATTAGTACATGCTATGGATGAATAAAATTGAAATATGTGGTTTCTTTTATAGGGCCTAGGATCCCTGTAGTAATTCACCATAAAATGTTCACATAGCCAGTAGAAATGTATGTCAAGGTGCACACTTTAAAAACTATGGACAAAGACAGAAAGATGCAGAAGGAAGGGTCAAAGTCAAGAAGAGTACACAGTGTTAATTTCCATCCAGGAACAAAGGGTAGTGGTGAAATTTGTCTTAACTTCTGTGCTGAGGGAAACAAAGTGATTTGAGTGATTCAATTTTTACGGGGTCTAGGGGATGCCAGGCACCTTTCAAGCTTCAGTGAACACCAGAGGATAAAGGCTATCCCCTTTAATTGGGAGGGTATATCTGTAGAATGGACTGGACATTCCCATTCTCAGTCACCTAGGAAAGAGACGTATTTTAGGATGGGGTAGGGTCTTAGGATGTGGACTTCAGAAAGGAGAGGGAACATCTTCCTCCTACCTGGCGGGGTTCCTTTGGGGCTGGACTCTGAAGAGCCTGTGGTTTGGGTGATAACAAGCGTGGGCTCCAAGAAGGGAGGCATGAAATGAGGGGACCCTATGAGGATATACTGAGGTCTGTAGGAAACCAATATTTGATAGATACTGTCCTCTAGGAGAGGAATACATTCATAAGAGTTTAGCAATACAGGGCATCATTTTCATTAAGCAAATTTAATGAGTACCTATTAGGAGTTAAACCACGTTTATGTGCCAGAGAAATGAAAGCAAAGAGACAAGGCCCTTACGTTCATACACAGTGCTGGGGGTAAGACAAAAAAACAAACAGAAAACAAAACAAGCAAATGGTAGGTGCTAAGAAGGGAACCAAGTGGGGGCTGCTGGAATGGCAGTGGAAACTTTTAGAAATGGTGGTTTGTATTTGTAGAGTATTCTTAGCAAAGGCCTCATTAGCTCTAAATCAGAGGCTGGAGGGTGGGACCCAGAGTGAAGGGTTGAGTTGAGATGGAAGTCAGGATTACGCCCAAGCCAAGGTAGTACATTTAATGGGATAAACGTGCTAGCCTCTGGGACTAGAAGCCTGCGACAATTCCCTACAGAAGTGACTGCTGTCAACTCCCACCTGACAAAGCATTCTGTGGCTTGAGTATATGCTCAGAAGGAGGAAAAATGGCATGAGGTAGGAGAACGTTTGTGTTCCTCCCACATAGTGGCCGTAACATTACTTTCTAAACGTACGGAAGAGCATCTCTCCTTCGCGTAACCGACAGGGTCAGCTGCTTCCCATTGTTCAGGACAAGTTAACACTTCTGTCTAAGCACTTTACATGTATCAAGTCATTTTATTCCTACAGTAGTTTTGTGGCTAGTGAAATCACTATCCCCGTTTTGTAGTTGAGGAAGTGGCGGCGGTGAGAGGTCTTGATCTTGCCCAAGACCACAGTAACAAAGTGACGGAAGTAGGATTCAGACTGAGTAGGTCGGCTCCGGAGTCTGTGCTCTCACTTAACCACTGCACTTTAAAGACTAAAATCCTTAAAACGGCGCCAGGCTTTGGTCCCTACGTAGGCTCTTGTACACCCACAATGCCTCCTGTAGTTCCCTCTCCCCACCCTGCTGCACCCTGCTGCAGGAGATCAGGTAGCTCAGGAATTAGAGTGGAGGCCCAGGCTCTTGCCTGCGCTCCGCCTCCTCCGCCACCAGAAGGCGCCCCAAGCGGGCCGCTCCTCCACTAACTGCTGGTTCCTAGAATAAGGGACGCTCAGAGGGCGCGGTGCCCGCTGCAAAACAGCTGTAGCGTCTCTCCGCCTCCGGGCTCGGGGGCGCGAGTGAGAACCTCCCGCTAAGACCCGCCGCAGCGCGAGGAGGAGACAAAGTCACGTCAAAGCCTGCGACGTTCAATCCCCGCTTCAGCGCTTACTCTGCACGCACTACGTCAACCGGAGGCTGCAGGAGGCGGAGCTCGGGCTCTCGCCCCGCCCACCCAGCTCACGTGACCAACAACCGTGGCCTCGGGGCCGGAAGCGCTCCCGAGCCCACGCGCGCGCTCTCGCGTTTCCAGGCGACCGGGAGCCTCCCCAACTCTGGGCCCTGCCGCGCGCTGGCGCTCGTTCCCGGTTTTCCGGGCCCGGAGAGCTCGGAAGCGGCTGCGCGCACGCTGCCCAGCCCGGTCCCCGCCCCCAGGCGCGCGGGGTTCCGGGGCAATACAGCCATGTGCTCGTTAGCGTCGGGCGCTGCGGGTGGGTATTCCTGGTCCCTTAGCACCCGGTTCGCCCAGCCCGAAGGCCGCGCCGCCGCGGGGCGGGAGAAAGACCCTCCTATCCCGCTGCGTCCCCTGGACGCGGGGTCGGACGGTGGGGCCTGGCAGGGAGGGTGAAGGAGGTGCGCCGGCAAGGGCCGCGGGGAGCGGGGTGGGGGCAGCATCACCACCCCCCCCCCACCTCTGCTTCACGTGTGCCCTGCTAGCACTGGTGTCCGTCTCGGGCAGGGCTAATTGTTTGCGTGTGCTAGGCGGCCGGGGTGCTATGGAGGACGAAGACGACCTGCCAGAGCTGTCCGACAGCGGTGACGAGGCCGCCTGGGAGGATGAGGACGATGCTGATCTCCCCCACGACAAGCAGCAGACCCCCTGTCTGTTCTGTGACAGGTTCGTCCACCCCAGTGCCAGGCGTCACCCCCAGGGTGCCGGGCCCTGTGGGTACCTGTGGTCCGCAGTCGAACCCGAGCGGCCTGCCCTCCAATCCTTGAACCAGTGGAGTGATGGTTTGTTGAGAAGGCAGAAGCAGCCATGAACTGGAAGGCGGGTTATACTAGTTCTCTTCGACAGCCTCAGTTTCCCCTTGTGTGAAATAAGAGGGTTTGGACAGAATCTATGGTTCCCAAATCTAGTTGAGCACCCTTTAAAGTCTCACCTGAGACTTTAAAAAGGTACTGAACTCTGCACCACAGCACTTCTAAATCAGTCATGGGATCTAGAAATTTCCTATTTTTATAAAGACATTTTCTGAGGTTATTCTAGTGAATAACCCGTTTGGGAGTCACTAAACTAGATAATCCCTTGGGTCCCTTCCAGCTTTACCATTCTATAATTCATTTATAAGTAGAGAGCTATTCAAGTTACAGCAGAGCTTCTCAAGTTGCAGCATTATTTCCATTTGAACTATCCAAAGAATCATCTTTCCTAGGTAGGAACTCCCCACCTATGGAAGAGAAAGGAATTGATGCATTTTTCACTTAGGGAAAAAGAGACTGCAGTTTCAATAACTGGTTCAAGGTCACAATGCTGTGGTTTTCTTATATCCAAATCCCTATACTTTGCACTTAAAGTTCTGCCTATTCGTCTCAGTAAGCTTTGACTTTGGCCGACTTTCTGGGCAAGTGGCTTGGCATTGGCCAGTATTACTTTAATAAACATTTGCCAGTTTCCCATAAATCTAGGCATGGTGCTGATTGGTGGTGTATTAGCTCCTCTTGATTCGTCATTGTTCTCACATGTAGCCTCATTTGCGTAGGTACAGAATGTCTACGTTTACTTTAGTTGTCATAAAATAATATTTATTGAGCATCAGGGATGTACATCTCTGTGATAGGCTGTATATAAGCACAGCAAGGTAAACATCGGTTGTAAACTACTTGCTGCATGTGTGCTAGGCGCTCAGAAGTATGCAGCTTCTCTGCTGTATATTTCTATCTTAAGTGTCCTTCAGTTTTGCAGGTCACATCATAAAGAGGCCTGGTCCTCACAATGTCCGTAACACAAGTACTTTCAGAACACTACAAGATTACCTTTGAAATATGGCACTTTGGGAATATGCCAGCTGTAAAAATTACATGTTATGCTTTATTTCTAAAAGCAGTTTGAGCTGTTGCAGTTCAAAGCCTCTGGAAGCAGCACTGACAGAGAGGAGAAAAGAATCTTCTGTAGGGAATTTTCATGTCTTGAGGGAAATAGAATCTATCAAAGGGAGTTCTCTTCCTTAAAAGCCTTCTGATCATCTCAGTGCTATTATTTGGCAAATAAATTAACTTTGACATTTAAAAAGGTTGTTAGGGGTGTAAAATGGGACTCAGAAGTTCTAATTCCCTGTAGTGGTGCTGGGTTCCTCTCATGTACAGGTACGTTTGTTTTTTTCTTAGAAACCACCAGAAGGGGGGTATATATTTTACATGAAATCCATATTTACATGAAATCCATTTTGAGGGGACTGTTTCATAAAGCTGTCACTTGATTTTTCAGGTTATTTACATCTGCTGAAGAAACATTTTCACATTGTAAGTCTGAGCATCAATTTAATATTGATAACATGGTCCATAAACATGGTGAGTATTTTTTAGAATAAAGGAAATTGTTGTTGTGAAATTTAAGTTCAAACTTTGTATTCTTCCAGAACCTTCCTTTCCTCTACAAGTTCAATATGGTGAAAAATATAGGAGCAGCCTATCTAATGAAGTTTTTTTGACAAGTGGCCTTTGAAGAAGGACTAATTATAAGTCATTCTTCTAGATAAGATTCACTGTATTTAAGCTTGTATTGACTTCACAACTAAAAAGGAAAAAACAACGTTGGCATGTGATTGCATTTTTATCGTATTAGAACTAGGGAGAGCAAGGACAGAAGTGGGCTTTGGAAAGGGTGGTGGTCGTTATGGAAAAAGCTCACCAGGTCAAAGCATAACATGAACTTCAGGGCATACAAAGTTGAGTTTGGTAAGAGTATAGAAAAAGGAATGATGAGGTTAAGGTGGTAAGCAAAATACTTAGATGATGATTCTTTTGAAACTTGCATTTACACATGCTTCCTTTATAATTAAAGTCTTCTACTTCTTTAAATGGATGCAGAAGTGCTACACTATTATTCCACTAAAATTAAATACAGAATTGTTTTTTTAGTCCCTGCATTTACTATCAACTAGAAAAGACATTAAACATGTGATACGTTTATGAATCATAAATTCAGCTGCAACTGCTTTTGTAAGACATGAATGGCTTATTCTCATTCGTTTTTTTATGTGCATTTTTTAATGTTTATTTATTTGAGAGAGAGAGCGTGTGCACGAGTGGGGGAGGAGCAGAGAGAGAGGGAGAGAATCCCAAGCAGGCTCTGCACTGTCAGTGTGTCCCTTTATGTGCATTTTAAAACTGAATTGGAATCATACTTTAAATATAATTTTGAGGTATGCCTGGGTGGCTCCTTTGGTTAAGCATCTGACTTCAGCTCAGGTTTGTGAGCTCAGGCCCCACATTGGGCTCTGTGCTGGCAGCTCAGACCCTGGAGCCTGCTCCGGATTCTGTGTCTCCGTATCTCTTTCTCTGCCCCTCCCCTGCTTGTGCGTGCTCTCTCTCTCTCAAAAATAGTTACGTTTTTAAAAATAATTTTGTAATTTTCTTCATTTAATAGAGGTTTTTGTATGCTATTATGCATGTAAACATTTTTAACGCTGTTATATTTCTCATAACAACATTATTCATGACAAATAATGCCCAGTTGGTTGGACATTCTATTGCTCTTCCTTGCTTTAAATCCTGCTTCATTTCTGGAAAGAAGAGAACCAGAGAACAAGCCTTATTGTTTTTTAACTTACATCATTTAACTTAATATAAAAGCTATTTCACTTTGTATACTCCATGTCTGACAAAATTATAATTTGGTAGGCATCTTAAAAATAGGGGATTTAAAACTTTTGGCTATAATATCAACTGTCAAATAGTTGTTAAAATCTACAACCAAATTTTCCTGATTTGTGTTGTTTTTACAAATGAGGATTTGAATTCTAAAAATTAATTTCCTACTTTTTAGAAATGCAAGAAAAACATTAAAAATTGTCATCCATATGGCTGTTTCTTCAGATATTCAGAAGTATTAAAGTTACTATTTCTAGTTCTTAAGAAATTCAAAATATTGTAAGTTGTAGTTTAGAGGACATAAATATTTTATTATTTAACCTCTATAGAACAGGTCAATTAGACAAACTCCTCTTATGAAAATAGATGAATTATCTTTTTTTTCCCTTTTAGGACTGGAATTTTATGGCTACATTAAACTAATAAATTTTATTAGACTTAAGGTAAGTTGGTAGCTTAATTTATAATTTTGTTTGGAAACAAAAGAAACACCACAGTGACTAATGATGCCCTGGTTTTAGAAAAATACAAAGAACTGCTAAATGAGAAACTGTTTTAGATTTAGCAGTCATCACATTGGGGGAATCGTGGACGTTAGGAACTTGTCCAACATGCAGCACCAAGTAAATGAATACACATCATGTTTAGTAACGTTTCATTTTTAACTGTGTCTAGGAGGTGAATTGTTGTTATGTGAAAAAGTAATTGAGTGTCAAATAATGGGAAATACTGATACACAATATTTCTCTAAGATCAGAAATAATTTCTAGTGTGATTCCAAGTACTGTGGTTGTCTTTTCTATTTTTCAAATACTTTGTCCTTTTTTCTCTTCTATTCAAATGAATGTTTATGTTGCCACTTCCTTCAAATCCAAACAATATTGAATCCAACATTGAAACCATATTGCATATTAATGTAAGTAGTCATCTAATCAAGTTAATGAAGTGAGAGGTGAACATAGACTCCGTAAATAGAGGTTTTACATAAGGTAGACATGGTTCCTTTTTTTTTACTTAATTTTCCTAGTTTTTGCCAGGGGTGGTTTGTGATTATATACAATGAAAAAACATGCAATTAATTTTATATCCAGAATCCTACAGTTGAGTATATGAATTCCATATACAACCCAGTGCCTTGGGAGAAAGAAGAGTATTTGAAGCCAGTATTAGAAGATGACCTATTACTTCAATTTGGTAAGATGAACTTACAGTATCTACTTTAATGTAGGGTCATTTGTAATGGCAAAATGGTGGTTAAAAGTGTTCTAGGAAAATATATTACCTCCTTAATTCTCTGAAGACTTCACCAGGTAGTTGGTCTCAATAGGAAAGTTAACTTTAAGAACTGCTAGTCACACTGATCATTACCAGAGAGAAATTTAGAAATAGGAGCTTGTTTAAACATTGTATACAAGACGTTCTGAAACATAGGGAGACTTGAGAGAATAATTTTTAATTGTAGGCTACTTTTTAGTCTACTAAAATTGACTGAAATTTTAATTTAGTTTGCTAAAATTAATTAAACTTTTAATTTATTTTAAATTAACCATAATTTTAAAATCTACTGATTCAAAATAATTTTAAAGCAGACAATAATATTTGCTGCTTCTGTCTGACATATTTAAGTCTGATAATTGACTTTTCTTAAGACATCCAGTTTACTGAGATTTTATTTTGATGCAGAACAGATTCCACTCATTTCCTTGGGCTTGCCTACATGCACTAACTCTACAGCCTTCCTTGGGGCAGGGCCACTCTCATCTCCTGACTGTAGCTTTCTTACTTAGTTACTTGCTCTGTGCATTGACCATTCCTTATTGAACAGGGATCTTATGAAAATTCTGTTGGCTTCTTACAGATACTTGAATGTTCTAACTTACCAGGGTTAATGATTTATGTTTTTTCCCCTTGTTTATATTTGCTTCTATGTTTCTTGTGTCAGTAAGGTGAGGTAGAGGGTTTGCTCTTTTCAGACCAGTAAGACCAATCTAAACAGACATGTACCTTCACATATAGTAGTTTAACAGTGTGTATTTGAGAAGTTCTCTGAATAGTGAGAACTGTGGAAAACTACTCATTTCCTTGAGTAGTACCATCATTTGGTTGTGTGGTGGTACAGTGTCGTATTAATGACCTTAATGTAGGAGTCAGGAACTATGTGACCCTGGACAGAGCTTTCTGTTTTTAAGTCTTCATGTATAAAATGAAGAACCCAGACCAGATTTCTGATATTCTTTCTAGTTCTAAAATTTGTTGAGTCCCAGGTTGATTCTTTCCTGTCTTTACAAATTCTCTTTAATCTCATTTCTCCCCAGAGTGACCAAAGTGATCTCCTTAATAAATGACAAGTGCCCACTAAGTGTTCTTTATGACTTTCTAAATTCAAAGTCATTCATTGAGCACTCACAGGATGAAAGTAGTATGTTAAATGTAGTAGAAACATGAATAAGGGAATCCTTCCCATAGGGAGTCTGCAATCTTAATAAGAGTGCTTTGTTTTTAAATGTCTGTTATGTATTATAGTATAAGGTCAACTATGGTAAGTTTCATGAGAAGTAGAAAAGGTAGTACAGTTCAGAAGAGGAAGAGATTATTCAGATCAACAAATATTGAGTGTTGTATGCTGGTCACTGTGGGTACAGATCAGTAGTGAATCTAACTCTCCAATGGTATATAAAGTTAATTTCTTTCAGCCTTAACTTGTAAAAAAGGTGATAATGAGCCCTACCTTATAAAATTGTTGCAAAGATAATGTGTATTAGCACAGTACCTGTCAGAGGGCAAGTGCTTAATAAAGGAGAATTTATTGTTATTAGTAAATAACTAAGGCCTCCAGGAGTTTGGATGAAGTCATGACTGTGATCTGGAACACTTAAAGAGACCTAGTTAAAAAAGGAGAATTTGAACCAGGCATGCCCTTGAGTGCACTGCCTGTGTTCTCTGTCTGTGCTCCTAGCCATTGGTGGAGCAGGATGGAAGAGAAGGTCATGATTCTTCTGGCGCCAAGCTTGATGATTGACTGTTGCACTTCCACTGCCTTTCAGTAAATATTTATTGAGCATCTGTTAAGTATTAGGCTTTGAGGATGTAAAGATGCTAAATTAATAAAGATGACTAAGAAAATAAGCAATGAAAGTATAAGGGAGGAACAGTAACTTTACAAGGGATAAACCTGGCATCTACCATCGCCAGATAATCACATTAGCGATAAACCATGTTGATAGTGTGAGCTCTTTATGTGATGTCATGAGAATGGTACTTTCCCTCTGGTCTTTCTCCCCAAAACTGATAACCTCATTCTGACCATGAAAAACCATCAGACACACAAAGTAAGTGTCATTGTCCAAACTACCTGACCAGTACTCCTCAAAACTGTCAAGGTCATCAAAAACAAGGAGCGTCTGAGAAACTGTCATTGCTGAAGACAGGCTTAAGGAGACCTGACAATTGAATATACTGAAGTATCCTGGATAGGATCTTGGACAGAAAGGGGACATTAGGGAAAAACTAATGAAATACGAGTAAATAAAATGAGTTATTTTTTTAAGTACTGTGTAATATTTGAAACATACTCTACAAAGGGTTAATATTCTTTTATATAAAGAACTCTTAACCACTGAGAGACAAAGATCTCTTGATAGAACAATGGGGAAAATTACACGATTAGACAGTTCACCCAGAAAGGTTCAAAAATTGCCCAACAGTGAGATACCATTTCTCACCTGTCAGACTGGTAAATATTTTTAAAGTATGACAACATTTCTGTTGTCAGCGTTGTGGAGATACATTGCCAGTAGAATGCGTGTTTGGCAACACCTCACCAAACTACATATGTACTTACTTTTTAATACAGCAGTTTCTCTGATAATAATCTGTCTTGAAGGTATACCTCCAACAGCCTGAAAAGACATATACACAAGATTATTCAATACAGCATGATAATTTCCAAATATTGACAACAACTTAAATCCCCGTATATAGGAGAGTGATAGAGTAGGCTATGGTGTGTCCACACTGTGGAGTAGTCTACATCTATTAAAAACCACGGAGATCTCTGAACTGATAGAGTGATATCCAAGACATACCGTGAAACGAGAAAAGGCAGAGCTCAAAGGAGTATCTATGGTATGATACTCTGTTCATGTAAGAAAGAAAGGATTTGAGAAAGTACATGTGTCTGTTCGTTTGTTGAAAGAAATACAGGAAGGAGAAACTAGAAACTAGAGAGAGTAGTTACTTACGGGGCTTAGTGGGACAGGGATGGGAAGAAAGGCATAATGGGGTTGAAGTTACAGGGATAATGAGGGAGTGACACTTCTCTGAGGGTACCTTTTTGTATAGCTCCAACTCTTAGAACTGTGGGAATATTTCTCCTAGCCTTCGTGTAAAACAACAACAACAACAAAGCATCCTGGATGTGTGTGTGAGGATACGGGGGGTGCAAAATGGAATACAAACACTAACAAATGAACTTAACTGTATTACAGAGGAATAATGTAATAGCTGAAGTGGGTAGGGAAGAAAAGAACTGTGTGAATAACTGAAATCTTGACTGGATATTGTGCTGAGGCTATAGGTAAAAAGAACTACATAAATGCTGTAATCTACTAAGTAAAGGTGTTTCTCGCAGAATATGGATTAGCAATTCTGGCACTACTTTCTGTATGTAACAGCATGGACAAGTAAGTAAATATATTATGGATAATAAGAGCTAGGTTTTCACTGTTAGAGAAGGAGGTTTCAAATAAGGAAATAGGGAAGGATAAAATAAGTCCTATGGTGATAGATTGGAATCAGAAGTATCAGTATAAATTCCACACTTTTTAATATATATTCAGATAAATACAAAAATATAGATGTGTGTGCATGTGCGGGTTAGTATAGACACATGTATTTCCTAGCTCTGTTGAAAGAGCCTAGAAAAACCCCAGTAGCAATGAGCACACTTACTGCCCAGATTTTAACACCATTATCCAGTAAAAGGAACCAAGGCTCTTTAGAGAAGTGAGTGATTCCTTGGATGGGGCAGGATGATACAGGATGAGTCTGGGAAAGCTTGTGCCACAAATTAAGGACATACTTAAAAAGAAAAGGTGGTGGCAGGGCGCCTGGGTGGCTCAGTCGGTTAAGCGGCCGACTTCGGTGCAGGTCATGATCTCGCGGTCCGTGAGTTCAAGCCCCGCGTCAGGCTCTGTGCTGACAGCTCAGAGCCTGGAGCCTGTTTCAGATTCTGTGTCTCCCTCTCGCTGACCCTCCCCTGTTCATGCTCTGTCTCTCTCTGTCTCAAAAATAAATAAAATGTTAAAAAAAAATTAAAAAAAAAAAAAAAAAGAAAAAGAAAAGGTGGGGGAGGAGGGGACTTAACAAAAGAATACCGGAGCCAACCTGAAGGAATCCTAATGGTCAAAGCTGGAGTAATTTGAGCAACACAGAAAGTGATACTATTGGGTTTTAATCCACAGGATAGAATAAATATCCATGAATCCATAATGACATAGTCAAGTAAATGGAGAAGGAACAGCTTGATCTTAGAGTAAAATTTTCATTAATGTGGAAGAGAAGAGAGAAATAGAAAATCACTGTTAGGCAAACACCACAGTAATAAGTTGCAGAAAGTATCCACCAATGGATGCTAAGATTAGTGGGCAGAAATTTAAGGTGAAACAGGTTCAGAGTATCTCCCTCAAGAAATTTAAGTACGAAGGAGATGTTAGCTTTTCCAGCAGACACTACCACAGCCAAGTGATCAAGGTTAACATCATCATTAATGAGTCATACTGACACCGAGAAATCCCTTGGTAAAATGCACTCAGAACACAACATCATTTTTCTGCTGTTCTTGCCAAGCATGTGTAACTTTATTCCACTAATGAAAAAACATCAGACAAAGCCAGGTTGACGGACAAACTACAAAATTAGTGATCGGTACTCTACGAAAAGTGTCTGATAAAGTTCTTGGGTGCAGGATTCTAAAAATAATTCGTTCAAGGTGCTGATTATTTTAGTTCTGACTTCTATGTATTTTGGGATTTTTCTAATCTAATTCATCAGTTGTTGATAGAGGTGTATTTACATTTCTGTGATTGAAGAATTGTCTGTTTTTTCCTTTTAATTCTATCAGTTTTTGCTTTTGTGAGGTTTATACTCATTTATAATTGTTATGTCGTCTTGACAAATTGACCATCCTTTGTGGTAGTTCTCAGCTGCCAAAATGAACCTCCTAAGACAGAATGTAGGTGATTTGAACCTCCTAAGACAGAATGTAGATGCGGAAATTCATCTTCCTGAATTTGGTTTAAGACTTTGAATTAGACTGTTTTGATAAATTGTAGTTATGGATCTTAATGTTTACTGAATCCTTCCTCCTTTTCAACATTTAAGCTTTAGTATATGGTTGTCTATGTATTATTAGTGTTGAAAGTTTTTACTTTGCCTTTCATTGCAGCAAAAGGCAAAACAGAAACTTGCTAAAACAAAGAAATCAATTCCTTTAATCAGTTCTAATCTGTAACTTAAACTAACAGCTTGGCTGGCAAACTGTGTAGAAGTTTTTTTTTTGTTTTTTTTTTTTTAATGTTTATTTTTGAGAGACAGAGACAGAAAGACAGAACACAGTGGGGGAGGGGGCAGAGAGAGAGACACACACACACAGAATCCAAAGCAGGCTCCAGACTCTGAGCTGTCAGCACAGAGCCCGATGAGGAGCTTGAACCCATGAACCGTGAGATCGTGACCTGAGCTGAAGTCAGGCACTTAACCGTCTGAGCCACCCAGGCGCCCCTTGAAGTTTGAAAATGAGATACACAGTGAAAGTTGTAGTACAAAGTAGAAAATATGGTGCTGTCCTTAAATAGTTTGGACATACTTTGTTGCTCTCGTTAATTTTTGTGAATTAAATAGTGAACGAATCTATAGTTTTTTAAAACAAATGACTCAGTATTCTGCCAGATGGATTAGAGTTTAGTGGTATACTGCTGTACTGTTTTTATAAGAAGTTGAACTTAGGCTCTAGTGTCTAAGTTATAATATTCTAATGTACTTGTTTCCCTTTTTTTTTTAATCTTTATTTTTTGAGAGAGAGAGAGAGAGAGAGAGAGAGAATCCCAAGCAGGCTCCACACTTAGCATGGAGCCCAACACAGGGCTCTTTCTTATGACTGTGAGATCATGATCTGAGCTGAAATCAAGAGTCGGATGCTTAATCGGCTGAGCCACCCGGGCACCCCTCTCGTGTATTTGTTAAGCTTGGTTATTTTGTCCCAACTCTAAAGAAGTGTCACCGCTAACAGCTGGCGATAAGAAAAAAAGCCATATTTTTCGCAGTGCTATACTGAAGAGAAGATGTATCTTCATTGCTTTTATTGCTTTATGTTGATCTGAAAGTTAATTGGACTGGTAAATAGACATGGGATTTTGTAACACTCACTAGCTCCATGTGTTAACCTCTTTTTGCAGAGTTATTAGTTCTACAGTGGAAGTTAATAATTATACATAGTGAAATTAAATTTAAACCAAGAATTTTTAATAATGTTAGGAATCAGGATATTCAATATCAGCAATGAGACCTCAGTGTATAGATTGCACTACCCCTTACGCAGGATGAAAAACTTACCTGAGTATATAGAATTCTTTATGTGCATGCTGTCCTTAGTGAATATGTAAATGTAATACCTGTTATTCTATAGATAAAGACTCAGGGTCTGAGAAGGAACCATGTGTAGTGGCAAGAACGTGAGCTAGGAGGGCAGGCATGGTGGGAATCTTAGTTTTTTTATGAAACGTTCAAATGACTTTGGGCTAGTCACTTAATTTCTCTGAAATTTATTTTCCCATGCCCTAAAATAGAAATATTTATATCCTAGTTTTGTTTTGAGGAGAAATGAAATGTAGTATGCGTACTTGAAAGAAATATGGTGATAAGTACATATTAGAGCTGTTTCCTTCCACTTTTTTGTTTCTTCTTGGGTTTGGTTCAGTATAATTAATGCCTTTTTGTTTCTTTCTGGGTTTGGTTCAGTATAATTAACACTTTTATATGTGATTAACTTAGCTACCTAATGAAAAACTTTAATAGCATGCTCTTTAAATTTAAATGGAAGCAGCTTCAGTATTAAATATTTATTTAATTAAAAGTACTTTTACAAGTTTTTCTCAGCTGGCTGCATAACAGGCCCTCAGAATATATTTATTCTGAGTTAACATGTTTGTATTTGCTTCATTCTTAGAAGATAGCTTAATAATAACGTCCATTCCTTCCTTAGACGTAGAAGATCTTTACGAACCGGTGTCACTCCCATTCTCATACCCCAATGGACTCAGTGAAAATACATCTGTTGTTGAAAAATTGAAACATATGGAAGCCAGAGCACTGTCTGCTGAAGCTGCATTAGCTAGAGCACGTGAGGATCTGCAAAGAATGAAGTAATTTATCAGTCTTAACAGAAAATTTGTTATTTAGATTCCGAAAGTAATACGACTTATATAATAAAGTGGAATATGGTAAAACATTTTGTATATTGGAAAGCACAATGTAGGTATCTAACTTTAAATTTATTTTAAATTAATTTTAATGACATGCAACATTTTAATATGTTATAGATATAGTTGATTAACATAAAATTCTGTGGTTTTACCTGTTCTCACATACTTCTTTATAATTACTTTTGTACTAATGGTAATTTTTCTGGGAGTGTTACCCTCTTGAGAACTTTTGTTCTTTGAATTACTCTATATCTAATAGATTTCTCCATTTTACTTTTTCTCTCCTAGGCTTTTAAAGGGAAGTGATTAATATTTTTTGGGTTTGGGGAAAATACAGTGTTGAAATTTTTGTTTTTAAAGAATCAAAGTATAATTAGGTAGTATTTAATTGGAAAACCACCAGGAGCCTGGGTGGCTCAGGTTATGATCTCATGGTTCTTGAGTTCGAGCCCCGCATCGGGCTCTGTGCTGACAGCTCAAAACCTGGAGTCTGCTTCGGATTCTGTGTCTCCCTCTGTCTCTCTGCCCATTGTCCCCTGCTCATGCTCTGTCTCTCTCTCTTTCTCAAAAATAAGTAAATATCAAAAATAATTAAAAAAAAAAAAAGAAAGAAAGAAACCAGATACATAGGATGATTTTCTTCAGTGGGTAAATTAGCTTTCTACTGGCAATACACAGAATTTAATGTGCATATGAATCACCTGGGAATTCGTTAAACTGTAGGTTCTGAGTCAGAGATCTGAAACAGGGCCTGAGATTCTGCATTCCTACCAAGTATAGTGTTAGCTATTGGATTTGTAAGTTGGTTGCCATTCCCTCAGTACCCATTTGATGGTTTGCTAGAATGTTCAATAGGGAAGATAGTATAGGTGATTGTGGTTCTCTTTCCCTGTTTTTGAGATTATATGCTGGGTAATCCAGTAACCAACAACTCTCCCCCATTATATACATATAGATTCTTTTTTTTTATGTTTGTTTATTTTTGAGAGAGAGTGAGAGAGCCCATGCATACTTGTGGGGGGGGGGTGCAGAGAGAGAGGGAGACAGAGAATTTCAAGCAGGCTTCGTGCTAGCAGTGCAGAGCTCGATGTGGGGGCTCGAACTCAGGAACCGTGAGATTATGACCTGAGCTGAAATCAGGAGTCAGATGCTCAACTGACTGGGCCACCCAGGCGCCCCATTATAGATTCTTAATGTATTGTGATCAGAGAGAGAACTGAGTTTTAGAGCTGGAGTGCATGGTGGTGGTGTATGTAAATAATTCTCCATTTGGGTCAACTTTCTGCCCTTACTTTCCATGACATACATAATATGGTTTTAAAGAATATTAATTTAAAGAATATTAATAGTGTTGAAATAAACCACATTGATTCAGCTGCTACAATAAGATTTTAGAACAATAGAAATAATAAAGTTGAATAAAGACAATGTGCTTTTGTTCAGTCGAAAGATACAAACAGCTCTAATCTGCAGTTGGCAGTGTTTTTGTGGTTTGCAGAAGGAATGTTTACAACCGGGTTTGCATATGCCATTGCTTGAGATCCAGCAGGGGGAGCTTTCAGTTGCTTAAGATAGAATGGAGTTAGAAGGCTCATCACACTGCACACCCCACTCCCTCCCCATTCCTCTCCCTCAACCTCTAGCCTTTCCTTTTTTCACGGTCCAATAAACCTGTCTCAAGGGTCTATTTCAAATTGATTACAGACAATTTGCTCAGGATTTTGTGATGAACGCAGATGTCAGAACCTGCTCGTCATCTACTACTGCCATTGCAGACCTCCAGGAAGATGAGGATGGTGTTTATTTCAGCTCATACGGGCATTATGGGATACATGAAGAAATGCTAAAGGTTAGAGAAGAGCACAAAAGTACCAAGTCCATACTAAAGGAAAAATAGAATAAAACAAGTTCTTAATACATATGCTAGAGGAGAACTGGTCATTTTTTGTTTTGTTTTTTTTTGAACTGCTTGTTAAATCTCTTTGGTGCTTAATAGCATATCTTGGGTTCAAAAGGCTACAGGAGCATCACAGTCACTGTAAATTCTATTGAAGATCATTATTAATCTTTATTAGGAAATCTTTTGCTTGAAATAGAACATCGGAAAAAAACAACTGCTGCTGATTTTTGTCTTCTCAGGAGCAACTGTTAAATAGGAACAAATAAGTTATATATTTGCCTTTTAATGTACAAAGGGAATGATTAATTTTAGTATGTTATATGGTAATATTGACCTCGGTTTGAGCAAATAATTCTTTGGTACAAAGTTAAGAAATAATTCTCACAGTTGTCATGGCATAACTTTTTTACATTTGAAATCAATTTCCTAAATTGATCAAATCAGGTTTTTAAATTTGGTTGGTTTTAATTTTTATAACGATAAAACCCATGTAAAATATAAGTAGATTTCTAGCTGTACCTGGCAATTATGCATTGTATCATGTATTATAGATTGTAAAACAGTAAGGTGTAATTTTTTAATGCATTGAAACTAAAAGTATTTATAGTAAAACAAACATTGGAATGTAAAAAATTTATTGAAAATGTTAGATGTTCATCTCTGTGCATTTTTGGAGGCCACTACCTTTTCTTAAAAGCAGCCAGCAAAAAATTCATTCGTAAATCCTTCCACACAAGATTGTTTTATTTTATGGAAGCCCTAAGACCATGTTCCCCTGACAGCTCTGCATTTAAAATAACCAGGGATATTTAATAACATGTATGTATGTATTGAGTCAGATTTACAAGATCACAGAGTGGAGGTCTGCTGATTAATAGTAATTGTAACTACTTGGGGTCTTTTAAAGTAGTGTCATGTCATTTCTTTACCAATGACCTGTCACGGTTGTACTTCTTGTTGTCACTTGAGTTATGGCATAGCATTACAAATAACAGTTATCTTATAAATGATAAGTTATTTTAAGTCCAGAGTGAGTTTGTTTAAAAAAAATTGATTTGCTCTGTTTCCTTTGTTAAAATTAATTTTACCGCATCTAGAATTTTTCTTTTTAAGGAATTCACTTAAGCCCATGTTTGTCATTTTAAATCACCCCATCAATTTAAATGCCATGAACCTTTAATGGCTTTGGTATGGAAATTGTGTTGGATTTTCTGACAGATAAGATTACTGAGACTTCAAGTAGGTAGTACATAAAAGTGTCCTAGATACAGTCATCAGGGAAGTCCAGTTTGAGTACTTACTTCCAAATGTCTGTTGTGGACATTTGTAGCTGTATGTCCGTAACTAGAGGATTTTTTATATTTTGCTAAGCTATGTGCTGTGGATGAGTAGGAAATGTTCTGTGTATCGAGTAATATTTTGTTTCTTATCAAAACATTTTTTAGCACACATAATCTATTTAATGTTGTGCTACTAGATCTCACTTGATCTTTATAAAGAACTTAGAATGGAGAAACACGTATACAACTTATCTTAATGTTCAGAACTGGCCTTGCTTTTATAGGAATAGTATTTCGATTTTTGGTTGCTTAGCCTCAGATAGTTCAATGACACTGTTTAGGCATATGCTGTGATTATAATTATAAAGAAAGGTACTTTGTGATCTTACTTTCTGGAGTTCAGATGAAGATAATGGTTTTGAATTCCAGAGATACAGTCAGTGGAGGGATGGATTACATGAATTTACAAAATCCTTCACCACTTTATCTTTCTGAAGTCATTGTTGACTAATGTTGTAAGTCTGAGATGCATCACTCTCTTTTTTTCCAAGAAAAATACTGTTCATCCTGGTGAACGTTTATCACAGATCATAGTACCATTAAATAACTTTTCTTTACCGCATTCTTCTCATGGTGTCTGCAGCTGACTTGTGCAGTCCCTCCCCCTTCATCAGCCTATCCATTTGAAACACACTGCTGTTTATATGTACATGAAATTTATGCTATATAACTCTTCTGTAGTTTCATTTTTAATATATATTTTTTTATATTTGTAGGAATAATTCCATGGGACTTGACTAGTCTTAAAAGATTGTTTTGCTTCTTAGTAATTCTATTTTTCTTGTGTGTTTCTTGGTTTTAATAGGTTGTTGAAAACAGTAATTTTTAAAATTTCTATTTATTGCATTATTCTGTATTGAAGTGTTAGTCTTTTCTGAGAATACATTCTTAGAAGTGGTTAGGAGTGCTAGTCTTTTATTTCTTGCATTTTCATGTTCACTGGATTTTTTTTTTCAGTTATTAAATTGAAGCTCTGCTATGTCCAAGGCACCGTGTTTGGTATACTTTGAATTTTATTGCAGCAGGGTGAGCATGTGAACAAAAGCACATGAATCTGTAGGATGAGCCCGGCATGGAGGAGACGAAGGACTGCAGTTGCGGGAGCAGTGGTGCACGGATTTAGGACAGGAGTTGGGGTGCGAGTGATGAAGTTGGAGTAGTGGTGAGGCGGTGTGATTGGCGAGAGCTGATGGGCTGATGTTCACGCAGCAGGAAATCACCGCTTGTAGTGTATGGAGAGTATAAAAATGACCCAAAAATGTATGGAATGGTATATTTTTGTTAAAGAGACTTTTCATTATTTAACATGTGTGAGTTTATTTAAACATTAGATTCTCTCAGTAATTCTTAAAATAACTTCAGGGAAAGGTTTAATAAACCTGATTTAAAATTTCTGTTTGTGAAGCAATTAGAATTCCAACAGAAAACACAGAATTTTAATTGTGCACCTCCCCATTTTTATATCCTGTAATTAAGTAAAAACTACATGGCTTTTAATCTGAGAACTTCTTTATATTTTTTTAGTAAAAAACTTCCCGGTATTGGCTTAAAAATGTTTTTTGAAGTATATGTATTGCCAAAATTTTGATATTGTAGCACTTGGTGTAACATTTCTTTTTACCTGGTGTGAAACCCCAAACTGGAATTGCTGACCTCTTTTTATTGTGCTCATTTTATTTACTTGGCAGCAGAGCCCCTTCCTGCTTAATTCGCTGTCTTTGTAGGTCTCAACTGAAGTAATTTAAAAGGGAATCTGCTCTTTTCATGAGCGAAACTAAATGGTCACATTCGATGCCTGTCTTAGGTACAGGTCATGTGAGACTTCACAGTGGAGAAGGCTCATAAATGTGGGCTGCAGGGCTCCAATGATTTATCTTCAGGATTACAGGCTTTTAAGCATCGTTTCCTACAACAGACATTTCTATAAAGAAAACAGGATTATAAATCAGATAGGTGCTGATCGGTAGACTTTCTTAGAATAACCATACTCAGTGTAAATTCATTTTTTGTATGTAACTGTAAGTTTTACATTTATCTGTGTCGGATATTTTTCTCCCATGTTTTGATACAGCATTTTAACATTTAACATAGCAGTGTCCCTCTACTACAAGGAGTCGGCCTCTATTGAAAGGAGCAAGACATCATGTTCATCTTCTATTAGCTTTAATTATTAGTTGAAGTCTTATAATGACAATGCATGTCAAGACAAAAAATGTATACATCTTTTAAGAACTTCGATCCTGTTTGACTTTTAGTGATTTTCTGAAACATGTTCTTTGGGTGTTGTTGGTATTTCTGTTTTTTTATTGTTTTCTTTTAGGACAAAAAAATTAAGCTTGGCTTTCCAAGCAAAAAATAACTTTGGAAATTAGCAATTTGTGATAAAATAACAAATAGCTTCCTAAAACGTTTTATATTTTTAGTCTATCCTGTAAACAGAATGTTTTTCTCTCCCCTCTAGGACAAAGTGCGAACAGAAAGTTACCGAGATTTTATATACCAAAATCCACATATCTTCAAAGACAAGGTGAGTAGCACAGGTTACAGAATTGTAGCCACATTTCATGTGGATCTTGGGTAGTAGAAGTCCCCTCTTGGGTCATCGTTGTGATAGCAGTTGCTTCAGCGCACTCTGGCTTTATTTCATGGAAGACTTACGATGCTGCTCTGTGGTGCAGGATACTGATAGCAGGCATGCTCATCGGTGCTGTCATTCAGTATACTGATTTTTTAAATTGAAATTCATTAATTACAGTGATGTGGTTTTAGTTAAACTTTGCTTATCCAGATTCTGTTGCTGAAACCATATTTTTGATTTACTATGATGCCTATGAATTTCCAATGTATCAGATGAGCCCCATACCAAAGCGTACTTTTAATGATTACTCTAGTTTGTGTTAATTAGTTAAAAAAATAATAATTTTAGGAAGTTATTATTAATAAGTAGGGGCAAATATTGTAAGGTAGGACTTACGTGCTTTCTTTTCAGATCTCATTTACTCCTTTATGAGACACGTTATATCTTACCATTGGTCTTAATACTCTTTCAGGTTATGTCAAAGATGAAATTTCACAGTGTGTGTCTGTTTGAAATTTGTGTCATTTATTTTTCCTCCCTGTGAATTGTGTTCATTTTTTCTTCTTCACTTCACCTCCTCCTTCCCTCCCTTTCTACGATGGCATGTTGACCTAAAAGTTCAGGTTTTCTGTTCTTCCTTGTTGGAAATTAGTCCACTAATTGAGTCAGATATCATCTCTGCCGCATGTATATCTTTGGGAATTTCCTCCACTCTTTCCACATCAAGAACATGTATATTGATAACATGTCAGCTTTTCATAATTCCTTCTTCACCTTCACTTTAGAAGGTACTTCTCCAAGCTCTTTCATAAGCTTCACATGATATTGTAGCAATGACTAACAGTTTTTATATTTTGAAAAATTTCTTTTCTTGATTCTTATATTCTTTGGAATATAATATGGATAGGCTTTTCATTTTCCGTTATCTATTTCCCAAGAGCAGTGTTTCACTTATGACTTTGCTGAGTTAACTGAAATTTGTTGTTGTTGTTTTTTTTAATTTTAATGTTTATTTTGGAGATAGAGCATGAACTGGGGAGGGGAAGAGAGAGAGGGAAACACAGAATCTGAAGCAGGCTTCAGGCTCTGAGCTGTCAGCACAGACAGCTGTCAGCACAGCCCCTGACATGGGGCTCAAACCCACAAACTGCGAGATCATGACCTGAGCGGAAGTTGGAGGCTTAACCGACTGAGCTACCCAGGTGCCCCGACAGCTGAAATTTATATGGTACTCTGCTCTCTTGGCCAACAAAGCATTACCTAACATGAGAGGTTTATCATGGTATGTGTTTCTTTGTATTTGCTGATCCCCTCTATAGATAAATAGGTGATTTCATTTTTAAAATCTTAGTTTTTATCAGTTCTTTGTATTCAGCTTTTTTGTATGCTTTTTATATGTTATTACAGCAGAGACTAAGAATTTTTTTATAGTTGGCTCTTACATTTATACCCAAGTGCTGGAACATTTTATCTTACATGTCTAAAAACCCACTTTGTTTCCAGCGAAACAAATATATTACCATTAAAATTTTCACTTTATAGTTAGATTATGTCCAGATTTTTATTTTATTTTTTCATTAATATGTTGTGGAGAAATTAAGCATGTACTGGTCTGGGCATTTTTAATCCTGCTTGGCTTCTCAGGAACCAGATATATAATAATTTTAGACAAGCAGTGGATCTCTTTAGGCCTCATCTGTAAAATGAAATCATTTTAACCCCTCTGGTTCAAAACTTTTATGATTTTTTTAAATTGTAAAATCATGGTCTTTGAGCCATCTGTTCTTAATACTTTTTGATATGAATACAATATGAATTCATTAAGTAAAATTAAGTTGAAGTTTCTTTTTCAGTATGCTTCTGAATAGACTTTTGTCCTATAATATGTAAGAATATACTGAAAAGGCACAAATTTAAAAAAAAATTTTTTTTTAATGTTTATTTTTGAGAGAGAGAGAGAGAGAGCATGCGAGCGTGAGTGGGGGAGGGGCAGAGAGAGAGGGAGACACAGAATCTGAAGACGGCTCCAGGTTATGAGCTGTCAGCACAGAGCCTGACACAGGACTCAAACTCACAGACCGCAAGATCACGACCTGAGCCAAAGTTGGACGCTTAATCGACTGAGTCACCCAGGCACCCCGAGAAACCACAAATATTTGTAATCAGAAGATTAATCATTGAGAAATTAAATAATTCTGAATATTTCTGTGTATATAGAATACATCTCACTAGATTTATCAATTTATATACATAGTTACTTTCTGCTTCTAGTTTTTTATTTGCAACAGTATTATAGAAATGTTACATATAGGGGGTGTCTGGGTGGCTCAGTCAGTTAAGTATCTGACAGTTGATCTTGGCTCAGGTCATGATCTCATGGTTTGTGATTTCAAGCCCCGAGCCCTGCGTTGGGCTCTTGACGCATTTTACTTACTGCTTTTACTGAAGACATTAACTCTGCCAAAGTCAGGAAACAGCTAATAAATAAGTTGGGAGCACTTTTCCTTAGCACTTGTCTAAAATGCTTTCATGTAAGTTATCTATGTGTTATTAGTTTTGCTTGGCACTTACGACTTCTCAAACATGTATTATAATGTAAAATATTATACCTATCAATTTTTAATTCCGTAAAACACTTTCAGGGCTTAATCTTCTGTAATTATTAATATTAAATAATCTAGAGCTTTCATATTTTTAGATGATGTGGGATACTGTATTATGCTATGGCTACAGAATTAGAAAATATACTACCATATATTTATATAGCACTTGATAATTTATAGATTGCTTTCAAACATGTTGTCTCATTATTAGTATACAGTAACTTGTAACTGGGCAGAGCAAATATTTATCTTCTTTTGCACATGTAGGTATTTGAGGTTAGTAGGTTAATTGACTTGCCCTAACACAGGCAACTAAAACAAAAACAACTTACTCCTTGTTGAGTGCCTTTAACCCTGTGCCACTACACTTAAAACATCATTATGTTAGAATGAGTAATTAGGGTGAGATGCATTAGTTATGCTTTAATTCACGTTATCTTTTATATATAGGTTATATGATTTCTGTGTGCCATGACAGAAAATTATTTAATTCTTTTTAAAAATTTATGAAATGACTTGTTTTCCTGAGTTTTATTATCATTGTTTTTATTTGCTTTTATTCCTCATCAGGTAGTCAAACTTCATACACTAGCTTCTATATTATATTATGTAGTGCATAGTAGAGATTTATTTTTCAAAAAAGTACTAATATTTAAAACTGTTTCTTCTGCCTTTCCTTCTCTTCTTCCTCCATCCCTCGCTTCCTGCTTCCTTTCCTTGGTTTCTTTTTTTTTTTTTTTAAGTTTATTTATTTTGAGAGAGAAAGTGTGTGTGTGCACACGAGCAGGGGAGGAGCAGAGAGAGGGGGATGGAGAGAAAATCCCAAGCAGGCTTTGCACTGTCAGTGCAGAGCCCGACTGCGGGGCTCGATCCAGCCAAGCGTGAAATTGTGATCCACCGGAGCCAAAATCAAGAGTTGGAAGCTCAACCGACTGAGCCACCCAGGCACTGCCCCTCCTTCATTTCTTTCTGAATATGGTTTCGATTCACAAAGCTCCTGTGGAGGCCATATGGTTTCTCAGATTTAATTTAACTTTGGGTGGCATTTAACCGTGTTATCACCCACTCATAATTAATTTCTATTTGCAGTACATTGAAGAAATTCACAGTTAGGTGCCTTCTCTATGCTTTTGGTTATTATCCACAGTTAAATAGAGTCACTTTTTTTCTTTTTTCTTTCTTCCTTTCTTTTCTTTTTTTTTTTTTTAGAAGAAGTGACTCAAATTACTTCATTATTTTATAAAATAATGCTGGTTTATCATTTCTGCCTTCCTTTGATTCTGTTAAGTTTTAGTTTCTTACCTAATTACCTAATTTTGAGCTAGATGTAACATATCATTAATGTGTAATTAAAAGTATATTTTAAATATAAGCTTTAGAAGCAGATTGACCTTTGTTTGCATGCCAGCTTTACAAATTACCAGCTATATTATCTGGGACCTATTACCTTCTCTCTCTAAAGCTCTCTCACTTTCCTCATGTGCAAGATGAGGACTGAATAAGACTTTTATATATATGCATATGTATATAAATTATATATATGTGTGTGTATGTATATATGTACATGTTACAAAAGAACACATACTCTAATTGAAGTATATGACATATATTCTTCTCTATTAGCTTTCTTTCTCAGCAATTTTTCTTAGAGATGATTCCTTATCATTCTTTTAATGGCTCATTTGTCCAATGTAAGAATGTCTGTAAGTTTTAATTTTTAATATTAGAAACAATGCATATAAAAATATAAAATGTTTTAAATACATGTGAGAGTCCAGTAATAAGGTAAAATCCTAACAGTGGACTTCCTGGGTCAAAAAAGTAATTAATTGAGTGCATGGGTGGTTCAGTCAATTAAACATCTGACTCTTGATTTTGGCTCAGGTCATGATCTCACAGCCCTGAGGATGAGCCCTGTGTCAGGCTCAGTGTGCAGTGGGGCCTATTGGGATTTTCTCTCTTCCTCTCTCTCTCTGCCCCTCCCCCACTTGTGTGGTCTCTCTCTCAAAATAAATAAATAAATTACTTTTTAAAAAAAGGTAATTTATACCTTGGATGGAGTTAGTGCTGCTAGCTTGTCTTTCCATAAATAGTATGTGAGTGCTGATATTCCCAGTCACCTTTGCCAAATATTATAGTATCAGATCTCTAAATTCCACACTGACCATTTAGTTTTAATTTTTTAATTTTGCAGATATCTTATTTCAGTGAAAGTTTCTGGAAACTTATCACTTACGATTGTGTTGTATATATTTTTCCATTTTTATTTTAGCCATATAATATTTCAGAATAATGTAACATAACCATACTCTAAGCATACATACTATCTATTACAATATTTTCTTG